TTTTGCTTCACTGTTTCAGGTTTTGGTTTGTGGGCCCTTGGATCTGTCATCTCTGAGCTTGTTGTCAAACAGGACATCATAGCAGAGGAGTGTGGGAATGGAGCTGCTTACCTCTTAGCAGCTGGGAAGCAGAGAGAGAGAGGTGGGGAACAGGATCTTGGGACAGTATACACACTTCAAGGACACACGACTCATTTCCTCCACAAAGGTCCCAGTTCCTAACAGGCTGATCCACAGTGGGAATGTTCATCAGTGGGTTAACACACCAATGGGACAAACGTCAAGTTGATCCTGCAGCCCCTCACCAGGGCTGCAGAGCCAAGTCTTTAGCACATGAGCCTTTGGATGCTTCCTGTCGGGACCATAGCAATCTCCACATCCAAAGTAGTCTTCATCAGTTGAATATTGAAAACTTCTGGGGAAGGCAGTGAAAGTGACCCTGGAGATGGGGAAGACCTTGGTGGTGTGAACACTGAGGACTGCAGCTCTCGCTATGCTGTCAAAAGCAGCCCATTTCAAGGAGTCGGATTTCAGGAGAGCTGTGTAGAATTGTCAGTTACAAGCTAATTTTGTTGGAGATGCTGCAAAACTATGATCTCTCATTTTTAGAATAGATACTTCAGGCCTTTTCCCATCCTGTCCTTTCTTGGTTCTTGATGATTAAACCATTTTAATTACTTACAGGAAAAGGCCAACTTGGAAGCATGAAGTAGGCACGCTGCAAAGTGATTTCAAGTAATTATGATGCAGGTTAATGAGAGCCAAATACATCCCTGTTTAAATCTGATCTGAAATTCACTTGATGAAATGTGTACTCAGTGGTCAAGATGAGCAGGGCTCTGGCCATCTATGAGGTTCAGTGATGGTCAGGAATGATGTCATCTCGGAATGACGTCACTGCCGCAGTGCCTGTGGGTGCAGCAGAGGGCAGCCACTGTAGACCAAAGCTTTCCTGTAAAACTCTGCACAGGAGGAATAAAGGACAGCCAAGATGACCTTGAACTCCTGGTCCTCCTGTCTCCACTTGCCAGTTCTGGGGTTATAGGTCCACACTATCACCCCCCAGCATGTTGTGGATTATTTGAGAAGAACTTAGCGGAGGGTTCAGGGCTGTTTGTAGTTAGCTATCATCCAATCACAAGTGTCTTCCTGAATTCCGTAATAGGGGCATCTACACTGGCAGAAACCTGCCCCTCCCACAAGAGTGGCTTGGGAGTGTTGAGCTTGAGCTTGAACTGGAACACAGGCCAGAAGCTATTTGAGAGCTGACCTGTGTTTCCCCTGGACAAAGAGTGGAGAATGAAAAGGCAAGGAGGAAGGGCCCCATTAGTTCCCCTGCCATCCTCCTCAAGTGGCAAAATGCCCTAGTTAGCATTTCATTGTTGCTCAGCATGATCCCCATTAGCCACGGGATGCCAAGGAGACTCAGGATTCTGAAATGTCAACCATCTCCAAATGGAATATTTTGAGAGAATCCCATCCTGGACACTTGAGCCCTTGGACTCTGCTTTAGTCACAGCAGCTTCTTCTGCCAGATCCAGCATCCCTCACTAAGCAGAGATTCAGGCTAAATGATGTGGCGTTTAGGTCAGGCACCTCCAACGATGGTTTTTCTTGGGAGTCACGTTTTTATAAAATGACATTTGATGGAAAAGGTTGAGTCATGGGTGTACACCATCACTTGTTACAGGGCCACTTTTCTGGCTGACTGTATCCTCGGAATTTTTTGACACAAGCTACAAACCAGCCATTTGTCTGTTTGAATGGATGATTCCTCGTAATTCCCATCCATGCTCCATTTTCAGGTGGGGCTGTAGTATGACACAGAAAGTACTCTTTGTTCTGAGTTGCCCTGCCCTCAAGTGTACAAATCAGGCTTGGAGGTTCTGCCTGGTCTGGGTCCAGCAGTGCGTTTATAGCCAGCGTCAAGACTTAGCATCTTTCACTCTTTTGTCCAGAAGTGCCGTTTTGCACCAGCAGCCATCCTCTGTTGGCAAATAATCATTGTCTTGAGATTGCAAAAGGAGGGAAAGCTTTGCTGACCTACTGTGTGCCAGGTGCCATGACAGGTACCAACATGTCACCTCAAGCAGTCCCACAATGCCCTGCAAAAGATCCAAAGGCCACCCCCCTTTTCCTGCTTTCATTCATAACGCACAGGAACACTTGTTCAAGGCAGATGAAAAATAGGGTGGTAGGCATGGCTCAGGTTAGGTGAGTGTGGGAGCTATCCCTAGCCATAAGCCTCTTTCATGGGAGGGCCCGTGTTAGCACACACAGAGTGATTCAGAATATGCACTGTCTGTACATGCAGGCCGCCTTGAGAGCTGGACCAAGAAGTGTACACAGGCTTCTCTTATCAACTTCCATCCCTCTGGGAGGGTGGCGAAGGAAGGCAGGGTCAGGTTGGGTCTGTCTTCCAATGGTTATCTCTCCCTATGATAACTGGTGTCCAAAAACAAGAAACGTCCTTCCAGCCACACAGATTACCGAGTACCTCTCTTCTGCTGGTTTTAGGAGCAAAAACTGAGTGAGGTTCAGGGACCTCAAAGCCATCAGTGTTTGTTGTCCCAGAGGTAGGTCCCCCAGACTGTAATGAGGGTCTTGGTGTCAACTTCAAGGTATACCTCAGTCCCAGATCGTCACTAGCCTCAGGCAGGTTCCCCGTGCTGGGGAGGTGCACACGAAGTGAGGGTTTCCTGCAGTCAGCCACGGGTTTTCACCACAGCGCTCAGCCTCAAAAGATTTAGACACTCGATTTGCAGCTCAGCCCTTTGGAAGCGCATCGACTGCATTTACTGAGAGCAACAGGTTCAAGTGCTGTCCAAGGCCTTGGTCCTCAGCCAGCTCACAGCTTGATTCAAAACAGAACCGTGAGACCGCTCTGGTCCCAGATGACAGTGTGATGGAGGAGAGCACACAGAGAAGGAATCCGAGAGAGTTAACCTCATTTTCTAAGTCTCACCCTCACTTGGGTTATTGTGGGTAGTGGATGTATCCCTTGCATGTGACCTGAACCCTGTCAGGGCCTGGCTACTAAGTGCTGCAGAGGCTCATGGCACAGGATAGGCAGCATTCCTGTAGGAAGCCAGCAGCCCATCTCTCCCAAGTGAGATCAGCTCTGTAAGGTAGTTCTTATCAGTCAGCATGGGTTGGGCTGTGCCTGAGACCTCGGTGACTTACTGAATACAGCACAGTGCATCCCACTCACTCAGGCTGGTGTGAGTGGGTGGCATCCTAGGCACCACGGCGGCCTGCTATGGGTGCTTGGTGACCCAGGCCTTACTGTCTTGTTCTTGGCCTCCTCCTGCCTGGCTTTCCAGGACTGTTATGTAGGGGACCAGGAGGCTGAGGTATGGCTTCCGCTGGATGGGCTTCTTCTCAGCCCTTGGTGATTCTATGTGTGGGACCTTTCCTTCCTGGCCTCAGGGGCTTGAAGGTGGGGTGGGGAGCACCTGGGTCTCTCTCATCCTTATTCTTGTCTGTTATGGTCTGCTCTAGCATGTTCCTGATCCTAGCCACCAGGCCAGTGTAGTCCCGGAGGCCTCCCAACGCCGTGGTTTAAGGCCAGTGCTTCTGGCCATCGTCGCTTTCCATTAATGGCTCTGTGGGCTGCAAGTCATCTCTCTTTTGCCAGCCCATGGTTGCTAGTGGGGAGATAACGGTAGCACGAAAGTTAAGAAGCTTTTGAGAGGTGCCTAGCCAGTGGGTAGCACGGGGACTGCGTATGCTCAGCTTCTAGCAGGTACCAGTCCGTGGCTGACTTGGGTGACCTTGAGCACGATGGGTGGTGCATTTTTATGAAAACATCTCTTTTCGTTCAAAGAGACTGGAACTTTTGCTGGACCTCACAGCCAAATTAATAATAGACTTTGAGATCACTTAAGACTGCTCTCCTGCTGTATACTCAGCCTATTTGTTTAGCTAGCCTTTAAGAGAACTGTGTAACAACCAACCTTACTTGCTTTGGAGTTCCCATGCAATCAACCTTTACAACCTGTGCTAACCTATAACATCAATCGTAAGTTATGCCCCGGACTGGGAACACCTTGTGTGTATTTTGTGGTAATCATTTGCTGAAGACAGCCAACAGGTCAATAACAACCCTTTTTTAACAAATATCTACCATACATGTTGAAAGCTGCATGGATGTAACTCGATAGCGTGTTTGTAGCACTCTTTGCTATCTGAGTCAGTCGGGCTCCACTGGAGTCAACAATTTCTTCTGGTATAAAACTCTGTTAAAGATTTCTGTAAAGCATCCCCTCTTCCTTCCCCATAGGGTGCTTTCTATGATGTTCAATACATACAGACAAAGACCTTTGTAGGGACACAGGCAATAGGGTCAGTTTGGATTCACAATCAGGCAGACTACAGACAAGCCAGAAACTACAGACTACAGATGACAGGAACTCATTCTAGTCAAGTTAATCTGAGGGGAACTGTCAAGTTTTCTTTCCTTACTGTGACAGTAACTCATTTTGGTGTTCTGAAGTTATCATTAATGCTTTTAACTTGTGAACACGAGCATGGGGTCGGGATGGTGAAGCAGCCATCCCCAACAACAGTACGCTGTGAAGACTGGCACTTTCTCCTGTGGTGTCTTCTGACCCCATGGATAAGCTCTGGCTTCTCCTTGCTGTGGGGAGACCCCAGTCCGGGGAGTGAGCTGCAGATGTCAGCGCAGTGGCCCCTGAGCAGGAATCTTGAGCTCCATCGTCAGTGGTGCGTGCGAGCAAGACCTGACTGGGCCTTCCTTTTGTAGAGGGAACCTTTGTGTTGGAGAAGGTGGCAGAAGGCTGGACTGATTCCCAGCCCAGGAAGGGCCTCTCCTTCCTGGCCTGCTGGTTTGCTATGTTTATTCTGCTGCCTGGTCCTGTACAGTGGGAGCTCTTCCCCTCCCTCAGCGCATCTGATGTTTCTGTGGTCAGCAGTGTTTTACATGTGGTCCGGAGTGAGAGTCCTGACAGCAGGTGCCTGTGCTCTGCTTGCAATGACAGGTGTGTCAAACTGCTGAGCCTCCCTACCAGCCTCCGGCCACAGAAGGTGAAAAGCTTGCTGGGGCAAAGCGTGTCCACCAAGAGCCCCTTCATCTATTCACCAATCATCGCATACAACCGTGGAGAAGAGCGCAACAAGAAAATAGGTAGGCTGCTGTCCGTGTCCGCCCTCCCTTCTGGGGTTTAGGACCAAGTCCTGGGCCAGTTTTCCTGTGTGTGCAAATGCTTGCATTGTGCTAGTGTACCCACTCTCCTGGAAATGTGTTTCATGTGTTGCCTTTAGACTGGCAGGTGCTCATTGAACGGGGTTTTAGAATCTTATTTCATGGAAGATGACTCACAGATGATCTAGAAGACGGTAAGACCTGGAGTATCACCCAGCAGAGACAGGCAACATGTGCTGTGTTTACTGGTTATCATTCCTCCTACAGAGCCACCGTGGCCTTGTCCAAAGGTCATAGCCATCCAGTGGTGATCAAAGTTGAACCTGTAGACATACTCACTCCATGTCTAAACCACTGCAGTATTAGTACTTTAAGCACTTTGTCCTGCAATGAACTTGGACTTAAGATCTCTCTTTTAGCCTTTGCAGTGCCAGCATTACAGACATGCCCCAACACTCCTGGCTAGTGAAATGCTTTTTTGATTTAAGATATTTGCAACTTCCAGTGTATTTACTAGGATATACATTAGGTACCGTCTATATGAGAAAAAGTCTTTACCCAAAACATTTTGCCATCTGCTTCCTGCAGGTAGAGCAAACAGATGAGAGGTGACTATCAGGGTAAGATGGAAGTAAGTTCTTTGAAGTCGTGGGGCTGTTAACAGCTGTCCCTGGCTTCCCCCATTGGTCCCAGAGCAGAGCCCATGGACTTTGGGGAAACCTGAGCAAGCACAGAGCGAGCTTGCCTTGAGGTAACAGGGTGGCCTGCCCTGGTTTGGCTCTGTGTGCCCACCAAGCATGCATAAAGCCTGGGTTGGATCTCCATCACTGTATGTATTGGGTGTGGTCATGCATATTGGTAACCCCAGCTTTTGAGAGGAGAGCACAGGTGGATCAGTTTGAAGCCATCCTTGGCTACATAGTGAGTTCAAGGCTAGCCTGAGCTGCATGAGAGCTTGTCTCATAGAAAGCAGGAGAGCAGTTAAGCAGGAAGTAAGAGATACGGGCTAATGTTTCAAGAGAAGGCAGCTGATACTGAGTGCTGGTAAATTCCTGTGAAGGTGTGTTTGAGTCTTTGAAATCCCATCTATGTCTTTGGTTTTGAAAGTCAGCCCCAAGCCAGGCATGGTGACATATGCCTTTAGTTCCAGCACTCAAGAGGCAGAGGTTGGCAGATTTCTGAGTACAAGGCCAGTCTGGAACACAGAGCAAGTTTCAGGACAGTTAGAGATACACAGAGAAACACTGTCCTGAGTCCACCCTCTCCCCCAAAATAAAAGAAAAAGTCAACTCCAAACCTAGTTCCTTTTCTCTGGAGAACATATGGTGGTGATAGGAAGTACCTAATCAGGTGCACTTGATAACAACAGGGAAGGGCAGATGGCATTTCCCCCTCAGCGTGCATTATGGGAAGGAGGAGAGAGTTGTTCTTTTGCAATGTGTGGGACCCTACTACAATCTCCAATGGGAGCGCCTCCCTTCATCTTATTGAAGGCAGGGAATGGGGTCCCCCTGCACTGGCTCGCTGACTCCGCCATCACCCCATGTAGCTGGACTACTTAAAAACAACACCCTGTCTCAGAACAAATATCCTAGGAGACTTTTTATCCTGCCATGCTCCAGCTTGATGCCTGGACCATGGTCTGTCTGTAAAGAGCAGAGCTCAAGAAACAGCCACACAGGCTCACAGACAAACACCAGGCTGGCTGTCGAGAAGTGGGAAAATGTTCTCAGGACCCTCTTTTCCAAACCCCAAGGACATCTATAAGACCCATCACATTTCTGATGCTACCACAACTCTCTTCTTATATTCAAAGTTTCAGTTAGAAACATTTGAAATTTAGGCCAAAGTCTTCAGGCCTCCAGCATGGACTCACTAACCAGGATAGCTCCAGACAGACACCAGAAGCCATAGAATATAAATTACATTTTCCACCCAAAAATGTACATTTGGAGTTGAAATGTAGCCGATTTGTCAGAGTACTTCCTTGGCATTCATGAAGAAGGGCTTACGCCCCTGTGCCCAAAAACCGGGAAGCTGGAACCTGCAGCCTCATTACCCTGCAGCTGTGCAAACTGCTGTATTTGGCCAGCCTGTCTCATCCCCTGACACTGGAATACAACATTGTGATCTCCAGTGTTCGCACTTGAGAGCCTCCCAATTGAGTTTCCCGTTCAAAACAAACGAAACCCAGCACAACCAACCAAAACCCCCAAATCTCATATTTTAAGTAAGTTTCTGATGCATGTGGTCTGGACAAGCCTGCTGGTTAGACAGTGTTTGCCCCGGTCTCTTCTGCAAATGTAGACTATTATCTGCCATTTTAATCTAAACAAATGGGGCGATACTTTTCCTAACCAGTTCTGTTCAGCTTACCAGTGATCCAGATGCCGCCCACAAAGGGCAGCCTGAGCTACTGGAAGAGCCAAGAGAGGAAGATGGATAGCCCAGGTGCTGGGCTGGGGCACAGTAGGACACAGTCTCCTGGTTCCTTTGTTTTGAGACACTTTGTCTTCCACTCTGTCTCCTCCTTCATCCCTCTTGAGGGCCGATAATCCAGATGAGAGCCACCACACCTTCCTGGGTCTGACGTCATTTGCAATAGGACTTCATGCCCTTGCCAGGTCTTGTGCTGATATCAGCAGCTATCTGCCCCAGGGGCAAAGTAGTGGCCAGGACAGGCCAGGGCCCTCAGGGACCAAATTGGCTGTGACTGTTGCCTGGCCCTGCAGCTCTCACTTCCTTTTGTGTGGCCCCAGAGACCGATGGTGCCACTCTGGGCTCCAGGTGTGTCATCTGTGGGGTGGGAGTTTAGAAACTGACTCAGGGTTATCCTGGGTCAAGTGAGAGAATGTTCCTCTGTGGTGGCCATTTGAGACCTTTCTTTGGGGCAGTTGTGTGTGTAGTGCTGTGGGAAGTAGGCCTAAGTTATGGCCACTTAGAAATCCCCGAACTGGTTATGTATGTGGTGTTGTGTGTGTCAGGTATAAAAACTCTTCATTGTGAGAACACCTTTGGGGCGCGCGTGTGTGTGTGTGTGTGTGTGTGTGTGTGTGTGTGTGTGTTGCTGTGTATAGCAGGTCGTTGCAAAAAATCAAGAGTATGTCTGACCAGGTTTTAGGGGACATAGAGAAGTCACACTCTGGGCCTCTTGCAAGTGGCCCCCGTGTCTGCACAGGGAGGCACCAGTCACCATCACAGCCATCAACACTGGTCTGCTGTGTTTCATAGCTGCAGAGAGAACTCAGCACGGATTGCTCATGCCAGGGCAAGTGAGTGGCCCATTGCTCTGTTCCACAGATGGCTTGACACAGCAACAAACTGAGAATGGCAGTGGTGCCAGCTCACCCTAGAGTTCTTCTGTGTGTGTTTTGTAGACTTCCAGTGGGTTCAAGGAGATGTGTGTGAAGTTCAGCTGATGGTGTACAACCCAATGCCGTTTGAGCTCCGCGTGGAAAACATGGTATGTGTCACCAGTCATCTGGCCCGAACCTCTCATCATTGCAAACACCCTTTTGCTTAACACTGGACACATCCATCCGCCGATGTATGTCAGGCTTCACTTCCGGTTAGCTGAGGTCCCTGAGCTTTCTGTGTGTGTCCATCATGCTTTGTCATTCCCGTGTCTTTGCCTGGCACTCAGTAGTGTTTGAATCTATAAGCTAGCCTTTTATTTATATACGCATTGATCTTAATAGAGCGAATATAGATTTGAAGTAGTCATCTGGAGGTCAGGGCTCCACGTTTAGTACCGACTTCTGTGGTCAGGGAAGATTTATCTGACCTCTTCCTGTGGGACTCACGCTAGGCTCTGGGCACAGTGTTCCATGGAGCCATCCCTTGAGGTCTTTCCCGCATATGTGTACAGGAATGTGTGCACATGTGTGAATGTGGAGGCCACAGCTTGAGGTTGGAGCTCTAGCCCTGGCTGTCCTACAATTCACTCTGGGGACCAGGCTGGCCTTGAACTCCCCTGTTTTGTAGGATTAAAAGCTTGTACTACCACTGCCCAGCTGCCTTAAATTTTTGAGGCAGGATATTTCCCAGGGCTTGGCAATATGGCTAGCCTTGCTAGCCAGTTTTCTCTAGGGGTCCCTTCTCCTTCTTCTGAGGCTTGAATTAAAGGTGTATATGTGGGTTTTGGGGATTCGAATTCTGGTCCTCCTTCTTGCTTGGCTCTTTAATTGCTTCGCCACCCATCCTGCCCTCCGTGAAAATCTGTTGCTACTGTCAGAGGGCTGCTGTTGCTCTCTGTATTTTTTTCTTTCTTTTTGTTTTTGAGACAGAGTTCTACCATGTAACCAGTTGACCTTGAATTCCCAGCACCACACCTGCCTCTACTTCCCAAGTGCCGGGATTCAAGGCATGTTTACTATGCCTGGCTTATTTAAAAAACAAAATAAATCTTTAAAAGTAGCTTTCATTATTTTCTGATTTAAAAATCATATGTGCTTATTGTAAAAAAAAAAATTAAGACGAGTAAAAAGTTATAATAAACTACAAAGTTCTGCTTGGAGTTAGCACACAAATTGGGGTTAGAAACTTAAATAATTATGAAGCATTTTAGGCATAAACTTGCATATATTCAACAGCTAGCCTGAAGATGTATTAACAACTACCGTTTGGCTTTAGTTAGCTCACGCATTAGCAAGTGTCAATGGGTTTTGCTTACGGACAACAGCCATATAATTGGCTTTTCTTCTAACACTCTTAGCCATGAGGTCTGAACCACACACCTCATATGCATCGTAGGAGCAGCCACTGCCACCAGAGTGCGTTTGCTTCCGGTGTTCTTTATAGACAGAGCTGGGAAAGGGCATGCAAGTGTGTGCACACACACATGCTTTTATGTGTATGTGTATGTGTATGTGTATGTGTATGTGTATGTGTATGTGTGTATGTGCACAACAGCCTCATGTGGTTCACACTCATGTCTACTCTCCCAGCTTATTCCCCTGGGGTCCCTCCCTGCCTCCCTCTTGTTGGTGTTGGCGATCCTTCCTTCTGCTGTGAGCAGTGGGCTCCCAGAGTCAGCACACCCACCCACGATCAGTGTCTCCAAGATAAGCTCCTACTGTTTTGACCATTGCACTGCAGAAAACCATCCCACTTGGGAGAGTCTCGGACTTCTTCCTCTGTGGAGGTCCTCTTTGTTCTGGGTCATGTTGCGTAGCTGCCATGAAGTCTTGCACGTCGTGTGATGAATTTACTCCATGATGTTTATGATCTTTGTTAAGGACATTTCTTTCTTTTTACTTTCCGCTTGTGTTTTTCTTTTCTTCTTTTTCTTCTCTTTTTCTAGATCATAATAATGCCTGTGATGTTCAAGGTTTCTTCTGGCCTTTGCCTCTGGCCAACCATACTTGCTTATTCATGGCTTCCGAGGGCCGGCAGTGATCATGACTTTGCCTTTGTGAATAGATGTTCCTGTTGCACTGACTGGAGCCTCCTGGGGACTGATGTCTCTGCGCTATGTCATGTCAAGGGGCAGCTTCTTGAGGCTGGGGACTCAAGGAGCTGAGTGGTTCACTTGCAAGCCCAGAGCCTGCTGTACACTGAGATGAATGAATAATTCATAGAAGCCCTGGAGCAAAATCAACTTCTGAGATATTTCTACACTATGTTTTTCTTTTGTGTTTGAAAAAAAAAAAACAAAAAAAACATTACTTATTTATTTTTCTTTGGGTCTGAATTCTCATTTGTCAAAACAGCAAAACAAGGAAATCAGATGATGATACACAGGGCTTTACCCCAACTGGAGTTTTTGCTTGCCACCCTTCTCTGGGTGTCCAGATCACACGGGTCTCCCTTAAAGTTCTCTGTGGGTTTTTTTTTTTTTAAACTCCTGGCCTTTTCATCCCCAAAGTTGCTGCAGTGAATGTCACAGAGCTCATTAGGATTGGCTGTGCATCATGGGTCTAGGCTGTGCCTCTTCACTGTGCTCCTTCATTTCCTGCAGGGGCTTCTCACCAGCGGAGTGGAGTTCGAGTCTCTCCCTGCAGCACTTTCCCTTCCTGCGGAATCTGGTTTGTATCCAGTGACACTGGTCGGGGTCCCGAAGACTACCGGGATGATCACCGTGAACGGTAAGGAGAGTGGCCTGCTGGTTTCTGCATCACTGCACCTGGAGCTGATTACCTTATCCATAATATTTACCACCGAAATGACAATGGGAAGATAGCGTTTACTTTCAAAGTAGATGACAAAAAGAATTGGTTTTGAGATGTGGGTGCTACTTGCTGTTGTGCTGTTAAGGGGGGTGGAGTCTATCCTGTGCCTTGTCTTGTCTGGTTTCCCTCTCACTCACTTTTCTCTTTTGTGCCATTCTCCTTTGGGACAGCATGGACTCAGCTTCTCTCCCTGCCATCAAATCCTCTCCAGCGCCCCTGAACCCCCTCTCGTGTGTCCATGTAGCCTCTACCATGCCACATCTATAGTGATTCCTTGATGCCTTGAATTCTCTATCCAGCTCTTGGCACTTTATCAGAATTCTTGTGATCGGATCAAGAATGGTGCTATTCTGGCTGAAGCTGGGCTGTTTAGTTTTCTCCTAATCTTGTTCAGAGGTCAGCCTTGGGATGGTGTCTCCTCTCTGGTCTTGTTCAGTCTCTTGGTTTCTTCATGCTGTATTCCTGACGCCCTGCCCTGGAGAGCATCTCAGTCTCATGGCTTCCTTCCTCTATTTTCCACCCCCACCTTCCCTGCCCTTCCCCTGGGCCTCCTTTCTCCTCAGTTTGCATGATGTGTGCGTGAGTACGGGTGGCACATATGGCATGGTGTGCGTGTGGAGGTCAGATGACAGTTTTGAAGAACTGCTCTTTCCTGCTGTCTTGAGTGTGTTCTGGATTGAACTCAGGCTCCAGGCTTGCCACCTCTACCTGCCAAGCCATTTCCCTGGACCCTTCCCTGGAGTCTTCACTTCCACCTTTCCCTCCCCCCTTCTTTCCTCTTCTTGCTTCTCAACCCTACCAAGCCCAGGGACCTCCTCTTGCCTTCAGTTCTGCCATGTGTGCTTCTGGTGTTCTTTAGAGACAGCCCTCCCACCCCACTGCCTTGCTTGCCATTTCCTCAGATGACCCGAGGGCTCTTCATGTGTACCATGTCATACCAGGACCCCATACCTCTCCTCCCTAAAGTGGCCTTTTTCCTAGAGGTTCCCATTTCAGTGAAGTGTCTTTGTGGACTGTTGTAGTAAATAAAAAAAATGTTGGGCTATATAATGTTTATTATTAGTCCTATGATTATCACAGTGGTATTAGCTAACCTGCTATCACAAATAATAAGACACAGACACTTGTTAGATTTTATTATTGTCTTATGTACCTTGGCCAGAAATTTATTTCACTTACACTGTCTCAATAACCTTACCATCCATCTCAAAGTCCCCATCCAATGCCACCCACCTTAATCCTTCTCATGTGGTCTGCTGTCCATCCATAATCCCACGGTACTTGTTTATATTCTTCGTCTGGGCCTTTTCATGCCATTATTGGAGTCCTTCCTCTTGGCCCATGTGGTTTTTTTTCTCCACACTAACCCATCATGGCATCCTCCTTCCTCTTCTTCCTGTCCATCTGTCTTTCATGATTCTCCTCTTCAAAGCCTAGGAACCTTAGACATGCCTACCCCATTCTGCCCTGCCCAGGTATAGGCTGTTTAATGAACCAATCGGATATAATGACTTAGGCAGGTTCACACAACAAGGATAGGTTTAATGACATCTTGAGGGCTAGCATCAGCACAACCCCCAATAGTGGACCATCTGCTTTAACCTGCTGCCACCAGACCTGATTGGTTTATTTACCTATCTGTCTGCCTGCCTGCCCGCCTGCTTATCTGTCTGTCTCTCTATCTATCTATCTATCTATCTATCTATCTATCTATCTATCTATCTATCTATCTATCTATCTATGTATCTACCAATCCTAGCCCCGTCCCTCCTCTCTTTCTGTTCCTACCCTCCCTTCCTCTTCTTCCTATCCTCCCTCCCCTACTCCTCAGAAAAGGGGACATCTCTCTACCCCCACTACCAACTCACCCCAGCACATCAAGTTGCATCAGGACTAAACACATCCTCTTCCCCTGTGGCCTGTCAAGGCAGCCCCACCAGGGGAGTGATTGAAAAGCAGACAACAGTCCATGTCGGACCTCATTGTCAATACTATACGAGACCCACTATTTTCTGCCACCTACATGGCTGTCTTCTGTCTGGAAGATCTGTGACTCTATCACAGAACTCAAGGACTAGTCTTTTCTGTTTTCCAGCTTACTTGCTAATGGGCCCACCCTCCACACTGAGCTCCTTTTCAGCTCCCATCAGTTGGCCACAAGTCTTACCCTTTGTCCTATCTTATTTCAAGGCACATTCCTGAGCCCTGGACCACCCCCACCCAGTATCCTTGTCTTCCCTCTTGGAAAGCTGCACTTGGATGTCACAAGGTTCCCGATGGTACCCACAGCACACCTGCCATCTGAACCTGACATGGATTTGCCCTTGAGGGCATCTGAGCCTCAACCAGTTCTTTGGGAGGGCATTCTTCCTTAGTCTGTCAATCTGATTGGTCCCCCGACAGAGTCCCCATGATGTTCCCATGACACTCGCTACACCTTTTTTCCCATGGCACCAGGGTGGCTTCTCTTTTCACCTTGGCCGCCATGACTAGGAGTGGTGTGCTGCAGAAGGAGATGCATTGAGCTGTTCCACCAATAGAATGAATGATACTGACAGGGAAAGAGAGTGGCTCCTCCCTAGGGAATAATTTCCTTGTCCCTCTGGGATGTAACACAGAAAAGTTGACAGTTTAGGCTTCTAGCCGCTGGCCATCATCTTTTGAAATTTCAAAAGCCATTCCAAAGCTTTACTTAAACAATTTCAAGTGCTTATGTAGCTCACCAGCCTTTTCTTTTTGCACACTCCCTGCGCTGATCTTAAGCTGTGGTCCTTTCACACACGTGGTGGAGTTGTCACATCATGAAGCAGCTAGTAATGGCAATAATTGGCTCTTGAACCTTCGTCTCTCAACAGAAGGTTCTAAAGCAGTTTTCAAATGCTCATTAAGTCCCATTATGTCTTGGAAAGGAATATTAACTCTCACTGTCAAGTTAGAGACGCTAAATCTGAAAGGTGTGGTAGCAAAGAGTGGAGACGGTAAGTACTAAGCAGTGACTGGGAGTGTGCAAGTATCTTCACAAGGACCTGTTGTCTAACCCTGGCCCACCTTGGGAAATAGGGCACCAGCAGCGTTCTCAGCTTCATTCTGTCCCAGGACAGCCAGGGTGCTTCGGGTAGAGGGGGCAGTAGTGGGGTGTGGGTGACGGGGGTGGTAGTGCCGGTGCTTTCTTTGTGGCCTTAGTAGAGGCATACCTGGCCAAGCCTTGTCAGGAGGTGTGACCCCCACCACCTGTTCCACAGGTTACCACACTACGGTCTTTGGGGTCTTCAGCGACTGCCTTCTGGACAACCTTCCGGGAGTGAAAACCAGCGGCTCCACCGTGGAAGTCATTCCTGCCCTGCCAAGATTGCAGATCAGCACATCGCTGCCCAGGTAGGGGGCCTGAGGGTGCAGGGGCCTGTGTCTAGAAGGAGCAGTTCTCAGAACGCTTTCTGGTTGTACATTTCTTAAAAATAGCACAAAGGGTTGGGGTTCATCTAACTTGGAGGAGGCAGAGAGTATAGCTGAAGGACCTTAAGGGACCAAAGAGTTAATATGCTCTCTGAAAATATCTAAGAATGCAGTTGAAGGCTCTCTCAGCAGAGCAAAGGTACAATTAGCTGTTGGAATTAGAATCACAAAAAGCAGTTGAGGTTTTATGGCCACTTAAGAGCAACTCTTGGGGCTCAGTGGGTAAAGTGCTTCCTGCATAGGCAGGAGGACCTGAGTGAAGAGCCCCAGAACCAATGTACAAAGCCAGGCCTGGAGGCCCACGCCTGTTACACCAACAAAGTAACAAATTCTTTAAAAAAATGTAATTTAAAATTTTAAGTTAAAATTATTACATCATTTCTCCCCTTCCCTCTCCTCTCTCCAATCCCTCCTATGTTTCGTCCCCCCACCCCAAATTCATGGCTTCTTTTTCTTTAATTGTTACTGTTACATATGTGAATAAACATATAAATACAGTCTGCTGAGTCCACGTAGAGTCGTTTATAAGTATTGGTTTTTAGGGTTGGTCACTCAGTACTGGGTAGTCAGTCAGGGAGCTCATCCCCGGGGAAGACCACCCCTCCCTTCTCAGCAGTCATTTATTGCTAACAGCCCTTCACCCTGCGGTGGGGCCCAGTGAGGTTTCTCCTAACCCCACTTTGGCATGTCAACTAATCAACTAGTGCCATTGTTCAGGAATTGTTTGGGCATCACTGTTACGGTTTTAAGGGAAACAGCTTCCCCATCATATCTGGGAGATTCAATCTTATGGCAGACTTCTTTGTCCTGAGGCTCTTTCTACCATTTCTTCTGGGGCATTTCTTGAGCCCTAGGTGTAGTGATTGTGTTGTAGATGCATCAGCTGGGGTCGGGCACCCCGCAATCAGTGGTTCTCTTCCTTTCTACCTGTTGTCGCTTTCTGTAAAGATCTCCATCTGAGGCAAAAAGAAGCTTCTCTGATGAGGGGTTGGGAGCGACACTTACCAGGCTGGGTCAGAGCACGGGATCAGAAAATGATCCAAAAATATACGTCTCACTCATGTCGCAGAATTGCACTGCCACTCGTTTGCTCGCGCCTGTGAGTAATGATGGCTCTCCAGAGCCACTGTTGTAAAACATGTCTTAGAATCTCCCCAGCTATTTGGTGGACCCTTTTCATGTGTCCAGCAGTGTTCTGCGTGACAGGGCTATGACAGTGAATGTGGCTGCCCTGGCCTCGTGCTTGTCAAGTGGTAGAGAATGACAGACAGCCGTCCTGCCTGACCATCTGAGCTATGAGATGGTCAGGGAGGAGGCCGCAGCTGTGGGTCCTGGGGCAGGTGGGCAGCTGGTAATGGAGGGAGTGCAGGTAGGAGGCAGGGGTGTGTGATTCCAGATGAAGTAAAATAATAGGAAAAGCTAACTCAGAAGGGCCCACGGGTCTGCCTGTAAGAGCTGAAGTCCCATTGTCTTAGAAGACAGGCTTTTGACTTGTTTTAGGATCCATAAGATAAAACCTCGATAACTGGGACCTCATCACAGTAAAAAACAGTTGTGCTTCCAAAGATGCCATTAGGAAAATGAAAAGGCAACTCACGGTTGAAAGAAAGTTTCTGCCCAGCACATATCTAGTAGAGTTGTATCTATATAAAGAACTTGTGAAACTCAGCATAGAGAAGACCGACAACCTGATTACAAATTTGGCAAATGATCTCCGTGAATCTTTCAGCAGAAAAGGTGCACAAACAGCAAGTAAGCAACCTGAAAAAGTATTCAGAGCCATTAGTCTCTTTTGGGCTGTCACCCTGCCCCCACGGCAGCCCACACCCACTGGGGTGGCTGTGATGAGAAGACAGACAGCAGCCAGGTTGGGAAAGGGTTACAGGAGCTGGAGTCTTCTTGCCCTGCTGATATTGGGAGGATGTCTGGGTAGTCTTTTAAAAGATCAAACATAGGTTTGATGACCCAGCTATTCTCCTTTTGGGTATCTACCTAAGGTGAGAGAGCCTATGCACCGTTGCCAAAACTTGTACCTGAATGGTGGCAAAGACCCATTTGTCCATCAGCTGATGAAGGGACAAAGGAGCCGCACTTGAGCACCGGAGCACTGCTCACTTAGTAGTGAAAACAAGTTAGCTCCTGATACCTGCTCTGCCCTAGTGGGCCTCAGAAACACTATGCTGAGGAAGAGGCCTTAGTGTGTGGCTCCTATGAACTGTTCGGAAGAGGCTCACAGGCCTGTGGAAAGAAGCTGCTAGTGGCAGCAGGGGTGGGGAGTGATGTAGGTCTTAGGTATCATGCCACGGTTTCTCCTTAGGATGATGGAGATATTTAAAATGGGGTCTCAGTGGAGGTAGAGCATCTCTGTTAAGTTTCCTAAGCTATGTATAGGTAAAAAGCAGGTGGGCAGCATTGTAAAGCTTCGCTTGGTTCAGTGGGGCAGGCAGATCTTTTTGCTTTGGCCTCTGTACGGTGGACACCCACCTCAGCTGAGCAAGCGCAGCCTCAGGAAGGTGTTCTGTCTCTGTTCCCTGACCACTTGACAGGGTGAGCCACTGAGAGAAGTGGGAAAGGGCACTGACACCTGCCCCACTGTGGAGGCCCTCAGTGTCCAGTCTGGGAGAAGGAGAGGGCCTGGCTCTGGGGGAAAACAGTTAAAGGGCTGGTACCAGGAAGGAAGAGCCTGCTGGGGAGAGGATCTCCTGCCCACCAGCTGAGCCATCTCAAAGCTCACCTCTGCAGTCACACAAGGAGGGAAGGATGTGACACCACAGGTGCCCCTCCAGCCACCTCAAGACCAACCTCAGCCGTCGCTTACTTTTACACTAGCGCCGAGTGATGGCATCTGCCTCCCGTTTCTCATTTTACTATCGTGTGGTGCTTTAATAAATCACGAAGATACTCTGTGGTGTCTCTGAGCTCCCAGTGGGAAGCCCTAGATAGCCTGCTCATAGGGAGCTAGGAGCACAGGGCAAAGGAGGAATCTTCCCAGAGACAGGGTTTTATCCTTCAGAGAGAGGGTATGGTCCAGGCAAGAGATTCCCATGGGAATGACTTGGAGTTAACGCACTTATTTATTTATTTATTAAATGTCAACACTTATAAAATTTTCTGAGTTAATTTACTGCATTAAACAGGGATTATTCAAGTGGCGGTTGACTGTAATGTGTTGTAAGCATAAGAGAGGCTCACTCATGGAATTCACTCATAGTTGTTGACATCGACTGTGTGCCCTCCGCCTGTGTGATACAGAATGTTCAGCAGTAACGGATGATCCTGACCTTGGCCTCATCCCATGTGAGTCCAGAGTAGAGGTAGTCACCTGCAGTCTGGAGCCTGACTTGCCAACCACTTCCATAAGTCCGTCGCCCCCAGCTGAGCATGTTTGTGAGAGCTGAGCACCAAATATTCTGTGCAAAGTCAGGGAGGCCAGCCTGCTTCTGAAGTCCTTCTGTGCGAATAGTCCCAGAGTGCTGCCAGCGTCTTCCCTTCCTTCTCCCTTACTCTTCTCCCTGTCGTCACTGTGCTTTTAGGTCTGCACACGCATTGCAGCCTTCTTCTGGTGATGAGATATCGGCTAACGTGTCCGTCCAGCTCTACAACGGAGAAGCTCAGCAGCTGGTCGTTACCTTGGAGAACATTGGACTGGAACCCCTCGAACAACTGGAAGTCACCTCAAAGCTTCTCACCACCAAGGGTAGGTGGCATGGTCACTGTCTGTGTGCTCAGTAGCAGAAGGCACGCTGTAGAGAGCTGATGCTGGTTATCCAGAGCACAACTGAGTCACCAGGAAATCTAGTGACTCTTCCACAGTGTCCCTCAGCACCAAGTCCTTCACCTGGTTCTTGGAACTTCAGTAAGTTGGTTATGGGCTTTGGTTGATGCTCGAAGAAATTGTTAATGTTGATGAGTGACAGAAAACGGCAGTTGATATGACGAAACTTTAAAAAAAATAGCATTTCTATTAATTCTCTGTTTTGTGCAGTCTGTTTCTATTATATTCACCCCCAACTCTTCCTAGATCTTCATACCCACCCAACTTTTCGTCTTTTTAAAAACTCATTGAGTCTAGTTTGTGCTGTGCTGCCTGAATATTCTTGGATGTGTAGCCATCATCTAGAGTATGGTTAGCCTACAAGGGGCAACAAATACTCTTCAAGAAAACGAATACCCTTCTTCCAGCAGCTGCCAGTTGCCACTAGTTCTACAGCTTGGGGTGGGGCTCCATGTCCACCTCCCCTCTCCATGCTGAGATTTCACCGGGCCTGGACTGTCAGAAGTCTTGTGCATGCTGCCACAATCACTGTGAGTTCATATGTGCAGAAATCATTTTTTTTTCTCAGTCATCCACCACCTCTGGTTCTTAGAATCTCTCCACCTTATCTTCCCTAATGGTCTCTGAGCTGGGTACAACACAGACGTCCTATTCAGGGCTTGGTACTCCGAATCTCTTATTCCCTGCACCTTGACCAGTTGTAGGTCTCTGTGTTCATCTGCATCTGCTGTAAGAAGTAGCTCCTCTGTTGAGGACTGAGAGATGCACTAGTGTATAGGGATAACAACAAACCATTAGGAGTCATTTCACACTATGTCCATTTAGCAGAATAATATTATTAGGTTCTCCCCTAGGTCCTATGCCTGGGATAGCCACAGACTTTTGGTCCTGACAGTGTTGCCAGGTATGGGTTTTGTGGAACAGAGCTTACATTCAATCATAGAATGTTTGGTTGTTTCCATAACTTTCATGCCACTGCTGCACCAATGGGCATGTCTTACCAGGCCCGATGTTATTGTAGCTTGCAAGGTTTACAGCTGGGGTAGACTGATGAGCATTTTTCTCCAATGTCAATGTATACAACACTTTTCAGCATGAAAGCTAGCTAGCAGGGATGAAGTTTTCAGGGTAGTACCAGCTAGATTGCTTTATGTTCTATGGTTCAGATATGTGATGTCTTCAGGTATTCCTGAAGGGTCTTCTCTGGTGAAACTTTTTATATCTCCTGTAACCTGCCATGTTTTCACAATTTGAGACTGGAAAATATTTTTGTTTTCTTTCCTAAAACAAATCCAGGTGATAATCATGTTACTGCTGTTCACTTAGATTGTGTGTTCTACCTTTTAAAGAAAATATTGGCTGTCATTTAGACTCAGTGGCCAGTGCTTTGAACACCTCTCCCGGGGGTGAGGGGGAGGGTGTGCAGCCTTGCCAGGCCACAGAGGAAGATGATGGAGCCATCCCTGATGAGACCTGATAGGCTAGGGTCAGATAGAAGGGGCGGAGGACCTCCCCTATCAGTGGACTAGGGGGAGGAGAGGGAGATAGGGTGGGACTGGGAGGAGATGAGGGGGGCTACAGCTGGGATAAAAAGTAAATAAATTGTAATAAATAAATAAAATTAAAAAAAAAACACAATCCCAGGCCAGGTATGGTACACACCTTTAATCCCAGAACTCTGGAGGCAGAGGCAAGCAGATCTGTATTATTTTAAGGCCAGCCTGGTCTACATTGTGAGTTCCAGGATAATCAGAGCTACATAGTGACAGCCTGCCTCAAAAATATCCAAAAGTAAACAACAAAGGAACAAAGAGCCCCACCCCAAACCCACAATTCCTTCAATTCCTTGTTCTGAACATTACACTTAACCCTTTAAACTGTTGAGTCTGTCATTCTTCTCTAAGGCTCATTCAGCTGTCTTCTCTATTCCCCCTCTACCTCGTCTGCGGAGTCAGTTCACTTTTGGACTTTGGCCCAATCCGCACTCCTCTGTAAACCTTCCCAATACTGGGGTGTTGGGTCTTTTCCTGTTTATTGTCCGAGAGTACCCTTCGCTAACTCTGTCTCCAGCTGGGCTACAAGTGCCTCAAAAACAGTGACAAGTTTTTTTTTGTTTTTAGGGTTTGGCACATAGTAGGTGTGCAAGAGTGAAGGGCTGGGATGCCGTTTTTACATTTAGATAATACAGTAGTGCTAGCATCTTGTTTTCCTGTTGGGAAGGCAGAATAAATATGGGGGGCCACTTTGAAGCCCTCGTGCTTCGTGTGGTCCCCACTGGGCTCTGGGTGAGTCACAGCCTCTGTGCTGCTGCGGCCCACCCTTCTTTTCTGGAGGCCTCTGGTGGCCTCTGAGCCTCTCAGCACTGCCTTTGTTCACGCGTGGCTTCTCTCTCACCTTGCCAGACCCCCCTTGGCGTCCACACTCCTATGCCTTTGAATTTTTCTGAACAGAATGTTCTGTCGACCCCTCCTCCTCCACTCTTGTTATGAAAGCGTTTAAACATGTGGAAGAAATGAAGGATCTCATTCGAGCACCCACACCCCTGTGACCTGTACACCACAGTTTGCACTTTTCTCTGCTGCTTCATTCTGTATCTCTTCAAGCCTCCTGTCTGTCCATCCGTCTCTTTAATGTTATTTAAGATCGCAGATGGCAGTTAGTTTTACCTCCAAGTGCTTTGGCACACATCTCATTATCACAACTCTAATTTCTTTTTGTTAGCTGCATATGCATGAAATGTTCACTCTCTGTACAGTATTCAGTGATGTTCAAACCCTTACCAAGGGGACCAGAGTACCAACTGTATCCCAGTACCAGACATTCCCATCACCTGAGGAAGCTCCCTCATGTTCCTTCCTAGTGCTCAGAGGCAACCATACTTTCCACACCAGTTTACCCATCATGCCTTGCACATGCCTAATCTATTCTTTGCTGTTTCCCAATCAGGGAACCTCACTGTTTACACTTTATAGCCGGGGACTCTGAAATCAACAGAGGACAGTCACCTGTCTAAGGTCATAGATTCAGGAGGAATCCATATGAGAAGCAAAATCCAAATTCTTTTTAATTTTAAAGATTTTTTTATTTTATTTGTATGAGTTGTCTCCTTGCATGTATTTCTGTGTACCACGTGCATGCCTGGTGCCCATTGAGTTCAGGAGAGGATGTCGTATCTCCTGCAACTGGAGTCACCGATGGTTGTGAGCATACGTGTGGGTGCTAGGAACTGAACTCAGGTCTCTGCAAGAGCAGCCAGTGCTCTTAACTGTTGCACCACCTCTCCAGCGCCTGACTTTTATTTTTTAAAGTCAGAAAACACTGGGTTTCATTTCAGAATTCCATATACATGTGGATGCTTTTCAAAGCCCTATTCTCAGCTCTGCTGGCCTCACTCCTTATCACAAGGGAGGAAGACACGTAGACGTGTAATGCCAGGCATCGCATAGCCATTTCCGAAGCAACACAGTTATAACTGGAAGATTAAAGCCATCATTTATTTTTTATTACTGTCCCAAGCAGTGGTACATTTACATGTAGAATTAAATTAACGAAAACAGGCCATCTGCTTTCAAAATATACAGAGAGATGATCCCTGCGGCTTGCACTCTGCCGTGGAGAGACACTTTCAGCATCAACAGACGACCCACCTGACGTGAGGAGATGAGAGTCTGGCCTTAGCCTGGAGCTGGCAGTTAACTGAACCATGCTGGGGGCTGAGACTCAGCTGTGCCTATTAAGGAGGCCCTGTTCCTGCAGGCGTGCTGTCTTTATTGGAAGTCCAGTGCGCTGTGTTTCTTTAATATCCAACTGTGAAATCTTGCCTTCTCTGGGTTCCCACACTGCCTTCCTTGTTCTGAGTTTACCTTTGTTTTCTACCTCAAAAGTAGCGGTAGCCGTTCCTGGTCCCCCATCTCCCTGTAGCTGATGAGCGGCACTTCTAGGTTCACAGCCATCACAGAGGTCTTTCAGTTCAGGGTGGAGGATTGGGCCTTTCACTGCTGTGGCTTCAGTACAGAAGAGCTGGGGTGCATTGGCAGTAAGTGTGAGCCCGTGGCATGGGCTATCCTGTGGGCTGTGAGGTGTGCTGGCAGGACCTCGGAAGCTCTCAGGAGACAGGCCAGAGGGAGCATACTTTGCTCGTATTCCTGTTTGCTTTAAGTCCTCTGCACACTTACATACATGGAGCCTGGTACTTGGGGAACCTGAGGCTCTTGTTCTGTGCCTGATGCCTGGGGGGTAAAGGGAGCCCTTCTGCCCCACCGTCTCTGCCTGTGCTCCCTTATCTTCAGTCATTAATCTTTTTGGGCTGACTTCCCATACTCTCGGCTCTCCTGATCTATGAGATGCACATCACAAACCCCTTGAAAAAGGCCTATTACTTCTCAAGTGTGTGGCAAGAAGCAGTGATATAAGGGCTCCGGAGACCTTTCTTGGGCCTAGACTGTGTTTTGGGCTTTGATGGGTTGAGGGTCCTTGTTCAAAAGTTCCTACCGTACAGATGTAGCGTGTCCACCATGTTTGAAGACAAGGGTTGTCTCACCCCTGGTGTACCCTTCTGATCCCGACTCACTTGTCACAGAATCCTTCTAGATTGTGGAAGGCAAACTACTGCCTTTACTCATTACAGAGTTCATTGTAATGAAGACAGAATCAAGCCAGGTGCGGTGGCACAGGCCTTTAATTCTAACCCTCAGGGAGGTAGAGGCAGGTGGATCTCTGTGGGTTCAGAGTCAGCATAGTCTACAAAGTGAACCCAGGACAGTCAAGGTTACACAGAGAAACCCTGTCTTAAAAAAAGAAAAAGAAAAAGAAAAAGACAAAATCAGGGAAAAAAATGTGTTCATTTTCCCACAGGCGGTGTAAGAAAGCTCAGAGTATATTGTATACAAGCACGATATGAATCAGGCTTGTGGCTCCATGAT